TTTATTTGTTCGTGCCTGCGCTGATTTCTGTTTTGTTACAATGGAGAGCCTATCCGCCTCTTTGTGGATTTGATGATGGCTCTTGTTCCTCTTAATTGCCTTTATCTTTTTTGGGAGGAGGACGAAGGGATTATTTGGGGGGGAGTTGGAAGAGACGGAAGGTGCAGAAGGGACGAACATGGAGGATGCTGTGACCCTTTCGGCGACGCTTAGACGCGCCTCTCCCCTGACACGGCGTCGAGCGCTGGTTATTCTTTTTGCCCTCCGGGGTTTGGCAAAGAAGGGTGACATGACTCTCTCGCTGACGTCCATCACCACTGCTCTTGAGTTCTCGATGGCAGGGAGGCCTGCACGATTTTTGTTTGCCACGGGAGGTCACGCGTCTGTTCTCCGTAGTCACGACCGAGGTGGCACGTGGCGGATTGCTTACAGAGTAAAAGGGACGAGAAATGACCATATGGAAGAAGGAGTCCCACCCTCCGATAAGATGGTCACCATGGAAGACATCGCAAAGTTCTTACCATCATCTGAATCCGCAAAGGGACAGAAGTGGCATTTAGGCAGTGAGCGCTCCGCAACGGAGCTGAAGACGCAAATATCGCACGTCACGGCATTGGACAGTATGCTTGCTGTGTGTGGCAGCCGTGCATTTTTGGCGGTTTCCGTTGATAGGGGGATGAGCTTTGTCTGTGTGAAAGAGGAGGATATTCATTCTTTTATGAAGGACGAACCAAGCGCATCCACTGAGTCGTGGCAGATTGAGGGAGTGGCTTTTTTGTCAGATCAATTGCTTATGTTTTTTTCCAAGAACAGTTTGTTTTCAATTGAGCTCATTCGCCATCATCATAAGCAGCAGCAGCAGCAGCAGTTTGGTGTTGTCGCTTTTGGTCGAGTCCGCCTAGTAAAAAAGTTTGCGGTCCCCGTTGGGTGCCTGAAAACATTTTCTCGAAGTGGCAAATTCATGTGCGAGTTGTTTGTGTCGACAAAGGGGCTTTTACACTATTCATCGGATGGGGGACAGTCTTTTCTCACCTTTCCGCATAAAATTGGTATCATCCGTGCTATTGAGCCACTGGACATTGTACTTCGGCGTCGTGAAGTGCCTCAGCTTCCGAACTTGTTGTTAACTCACATGCAGTCCGCAGCAACAGAGGAGACAAAGAGCAACAAAACAGGAAAATACATTTATATGGCAATTTCCCGTCGTGATTCTGTGGAAGAGAAAGACGATGGTGAACAGAACGTTGTGGATTCTGGTAACTGGGTGACGACGGGTGCTTTTCCTTGCTGCTCCGGAAATGTGCATTATCGGGTTTTTTTGGTGGGCGGAATCGGAACATCGATACTGCCGTACGACTACACGGCCCTCTTCTTCATTGCAGCGACATTAAACGATTCAACCGGCCGTATTGGACTCCTTGGATCCCTTGCGGAAAGCGTAGACTACATCCCGTATATACGTTCAGGAGCCGCGGAACCCACCTCCATTGCTCTTTGCCGACGCCCAGGCTCCAAAGGATGCGTGTTCGCACGAAGCAATGCTTCTGGCGTCAGTTTATCAAGCGATATGGGCCGGTCGTGGACAACTCCTACACAGGCGTATACAGTGGCTGTTATTGCTATGGACGGTGGTGAATTTGTGTGCTGCAACCGTCGAAACGTTGTGAGCAATATCCATGGCGGCAGCAGGGAAGTTCATTCTATACCAGCTGATCTGCGCGTCCCTTACTTGACCGATGCTGCCGTAATGTTATGATTTCGACCTTTCTCCGTCTTCCCTTTGGCTCTGAAACTAAAAAAAAAAAAAAAACGAAATCACAATCACAATCACTCACATACATAGTACAAACAGAAAACGAAAAGGGGAGGGCGGGGCGGGGCGGGGAAGAAGAGCGAAGGAGAGATTCTCTTTATGGGTCTTTATTGTTTTCGGGGAGGTGCTACTAGCCAAAAGAGCGGCCTTGGCGGTTTTCCCCCATTCGAGCGGAAAGAGGAAAGGAACAAGTTGCCGACGAGGAAATTTGACCTCACCGTCATCTCTCAACGTGATCCACCGGCACCTGTTTTTATTCAAGAGAAAAAAAAGAGGAAGGGGCGATATCGTATTGAAGGTGATGACTCAGAAAACTCCCACGTTTCGCGGACCCCGATGTCATCAGTACCTTATTTGAAGCCCACGAAATTTCAATCCTTTGCGGGTCTTTTTGGGAGCGGTACTGCGGCGTTGGCCCTGCGGTCGTGTGAAGACTCTAATATGCCTCACCATCTAATTGTTGGTGGGGAGGATGGGAATCTTGTTTTAGTAGACTATGAATTGGGAACAACTACTCGTCGATGGTATGGTGCTCATGGACGTGATGTAAACTCTTTGACGAGGCCACTGAGTAGCGGTGTTTTTGCCTCAGCCAGTCGCGATAAACTAGCAAAAGTTTGGAACCTTCATTCTGGCGAGGCACTCTGTGAACTTCACGGTCACACTGCAAATGTGACAAGTGTCACAATGGGTGCGGAACACAACTTTCTGGTTTCTGGAAGTCGCGATAACACCGTTCGCTTGTGGGATTTGGAGCGAGCTGAGGAAGTGCAATGCTGTGAAATCAAACAAAATATTGTGCAATTTACTCAATGGGTGCCCCAGTTGCACTGTGTGGCACAAGGTGGCGAAGACCTCACAGTGCGATTGTGGGATGTACGTATGAATGCCAATGGCAAAAAGGCAGTGGGCTTTAGTTTGGCTACCACGCTTGCTTGCATAGAATATCATCCCATATGCTGTGAGTTAATACCCGGTAATGAAACGTGCGGACTCTTGACGGGGCACAATGGTTTTAATGGGCATGGAGCATATGTTGTGGAGTGGGATTTGCGCATGCCAAAGTGTCTACGCGTTTTTCATGGCCACACTGGCACAGTTCGGAGTATAAGAACTCTCCCTCAACAGGACCCAGCAAATCATGGGGAGTTTGTGAGCGCAGGCGACGATGGAGCGATGATTTTCTTTTCGATGGGTCCCAGTTCCCACGAAACGGAGGTGGCTGACGATCCGAGGAGTATATTCAAACTCAATGAGGGTTGTGTGACTTGTTTGGATGTGTGTGCGAATGGCGATATTTTTTCCTCCACGTGGGGTGGGGCCGTGTCGGTGCTGCGTTGCACATCCCCAAAAAGGGGAGTTAAGGGAACCTTTAAACGGTTCAGATGCTTTGGGGCAGAGGAACTGCCAAAGTGAGGTGCGTCGTTCGCCATGTGTTGTGGCACCTGTCTATTTGAATGACACTATCAAAAAGTAGGCTACAGCGGCAACAAGAAGAATATAAAGCGAGCGAACGCACACACACACACACGCACACACAGAGAGAGAGAAAGAGGGGGAATGAGACACAGAAAAACCAAAAAGTAATAACAATAAAGGGTTGTCATGTCTGGCTCGGGGTGGTTGGGCCCCTCCCATACAGCCGTCTATTTTTTTTATTTTTTTTCCGACTATCAAACCTTATCCATCTATTTTTGTGTATATAATGCATTGATATCTAATTGTATTACATATGTCTGTTTGAATCTGCTTCTCTCGACAAGCGTTCTCCCTTTTTTTTTTTTTTTTTTTTTTTTTGTAGTGATAAAAGCAGCAGAGGTAAACGAAAAGGAAATGGTAGTTCATGAGATCGCTGCGCAGCCTGCTTCGGAGGTTGCTGATGTTGCTCGCTCGCTAGCAGTCAAGGGAGATCGCGTGGAGGCCGTTTACATTGCACACGAAATTCTGGAGGAGAATTTGGCAAAGCTGCCGGTGATGATAGCGGAGACGAGGAAGCCCACATCCTCTTATTTGGATCCATGGAAAAGCATTTCTGAAACAATGGAGTCTCTTTGCCAAGATGTAGAACTTTGCCTGCAATTATTTAGCGTGGGCGCCAACATTCAGCGGTTTAAAGGCTTGCGGACGGTTGCCTCCCTTTACGACCAAAAGAAGCCCGCCGCCGATCGTCTACGGGGGTTCTTCCTCATTGTGAGTTTATCTTTTACAGTCGATGACGCTGTGACACCGATGCCCGCCAGAATACTGCTGAAATTTGCGCAGGTGATTTGCATTTTTGATGCAATCCAGGCTGCCGAGTGGTTGAGTGTTGGAGTTCAAAACATGCTCGATGCAGGACGGCTCTCACAATTGTCTGAATCTTTTCTAGCCTCCAGGAGTCTTATTTGCATTTCGGTTTTTGGAGGGAAAAAAACGGCGCCTGGGTGTGGCAAGGCGAAGGGCACAAAGGCGTCTCTCATGACGGCCATTTTGACTCTCTTGATACGATGCAGAGCGGACGCCGGAGTGAAGAGGATGGAGGTGCACGAGAGAGAGCATGACCTTCGTGGATTCCTGGAAGATGACAAATTGAAATCTTTGTTGCATTTTGAAAGCGTCTGCGCCACAGCCATGGCGGAAAAGAAGCAGCGGATTCAAGAGAAGATGGCGAGACGAACCGCCAACAAGCGAGCGACAGCCGCCACCAAAAAGGATGGCGTGGACTCGAAAGAGATGAATGCGGATGCACATGGCGACAGCACATCTTACCGACGGTATTTACATAGCTCTTTGGAGTACTTTTTGGGCTCCGAATGGAGACAGCGCCCTTCTCGAATCGTGCTGTTTGTTGCTGGTGTTATTTTGCTTCTTCTTATGATACGACAAGTGGCCTCCATTGTGGCCCGTGGTTTGAGGAAAATGAAAAGCTTACCGCATGGGGCCAGAAAAACTCTCACTTTATAAAATAAAAAAGGGAGGAAGGGATAGTTTTGCTTTTGTAGCCCTCATTTATTTATTTATTTTTATTGTCTCTGTTTTTAAGGCGATTGTTCCGTCACGATGGAGGAATGAAGTAAAAAACAGGCACTTTTTCTCCACCTGCACGTTCTTTGTGTCGCTGTTGCCTTGTGCATATAATTAGTTCTGGGTAGTTTTCTAGGACTGCCGGTATTTCTCACATTTTTTTTTATCTATTTTTTTCTTTTTTTTTCTTTGCCTCGTTCCTTTATGCATTGTTTTGTTAGAAAAAAAACTTGAAAAGTTTTTTTTAGAATTGTTGTCTTTCCCCTTGCCCTACATCATTTTTATCGTTACTATTATTATGCTGATAACGATGATTGCTTATACGGACGGTATGATTGAGGACAGGTACAGGGCTCTTTTAATATTTGTTCTTTTTACGCTTAACAATGGCTTTTCTTGGCTTATGTTTGATCCCGTGGCTGGGTGGCTCGAGGAGAACATGAATGGTGTAACCGTGGGTCAGTTACAAGTTCTTTCTTCTTGGCAGCCTTTGATGTTCCTTATCATGTTTATACCTGTGATGAAAATGGTGACGGGGTCGGATGGACTGCGAAAGGCGGTGCGTCTTGGCGCGTCGTGTGAGATGATTGGTGCGATATTCAAAATAATCGGTTCATTGTCCCGAAATTCGTATGCGGGTTTTGTTCTTTTACACATCGGTCAAATTTTTAGTGGAGTGGGGTCTCCTGTGGCGACAGGCTGTGTCTCGGCCCTTTCTGCTGCGTGGTTCAATCCCAATGAGAGGACAAGGGCCACTGCTGCCGCTGTTTTGTCGAACAGTGTGGGGAATTCGCTTGCCTACATACTTGTTCCAGCCATGACAGAATCTTCTTCTTTTGTATGTACCACTGTTTATGAATTTGTAATGGCCACCATTGCAGCCATTCTTGTGTGGTTTTTGTTCCCTACGCAAAAGGCGTCCGTTGTGTCTGGGGGGATTGTTGAAATATTACCGGTTGAGGGGACTCCCAGCGAAGATAAAAGTCTCCGGAAGCAACTCTTTAATTTGCTCAGTGTACCCTCAGCTGTTTTTCTTTTACTTATATATTCATGGTCTAGTGGAGGATTTTCGGCGTGGGTGTCGCTTTTTGACGCAACGTACGACGATTTTTTTACCGAGAGCTTTATTGGATTTATGAGCTTTTCGGGCATGCTGGCGTATGCTGCTGGGGGTTTGGTTTCATCCTGCCTCACCGATCTTTACTTCCGTCGTCAAATGAAGTATGTGATTTTTTTCTGTATTACGTGTAATTCCGTCAGCAACCTTTTGTTTGTGGCCCTGGCACCAAACAATGACGGATACTCGCTTCATCCAAGCGGAAGAGCATGGATTGTTGTCGTTACAGCACTGTGTGGATTTTGGAATGGAGCCGCCGCCCCGTTGTTTTATGAACTGATCGCAGAAATTTCATATCCAGTAGATGAGGGTGTGAGTGGTGTCGCCGTTTCCTTCTGTGAGAACCTCGGGGCGTTGTTTTTTTACCAGGTTGTATCTCGTTTCTACAGCGGGCAGTCCATGAGCGTCGCGTACTCCTTTGGAATGACAGTTGCCGTGGTACTTTCAGCGGCCGTGCGGCAGAGGTACAACAGATCATACCACATGTATTTACAGTCTTCTCAGCAATTAGCTTCCATGAGTGTTGTCTCTGTTGATACTCCCGAGTAAAAACGCACTTTTATTTTCTTCTCTGTATTTGTCTAGGCGTGTGTGTGTGTTTTCTTTTTGGCCCCATTTTAGAGAATGAAGAAGAAATTTGCGTGACGCCTTCCCTCCACCTCGGGGTATTTGAATCTTTTCTCTGTTTTGTGCGTTTTTTTTTGTTTGTTTTTTGGGGTGGGGGTGGGGGTGCTGTAGATTTTTGCCGTCGTTCGAAGGTTTGTTGTTGTTGTTGTTTTTTGCCTTTTTTGCGTCTTTCTATTTATTTATTTGTGTATTTTTCTTTGCCTTTTTTTTTTCACCCCCGTTGTGTTTGTGTACGTGTCTGTGGTGACATTTTACGCGTTTGTGCGCCCTGTTTTCTCCTGCGTTTTTTTTGTTCTTGTTTTTGTTTTTCGCCGACTGCGGCTGCCGTCAGTGCGGAGGGAAAGAAGGAGGGGAGGCTCTGGTCCTTGTTTATTTCTTTGTTTATTTGTTAACCAGTAGTCAGCCCGTGAGGCGCACGCCCTCATTCAATCATGGCGCTGCGGCGATCTCTGTGCGTGCACTGAGCAGGCACTGACGCGAGTGCATCATTGACGCATGCGCCACGTGAGCAAAGAAGGCTCTTTTTAGTCCTTACTTCGCGATGGCGTTGCCTCCTTATT